CGCGGGGTGCGTGCTGCCCGATTGACATAATTCGATACGGGTTCATCGAGCACCCCTTAATATCATTACTTGCAATCCACACCATGCTATTTGAGAGGGGTGAATCTTGTTTTCTGTGAGCACCCCCGCAAGAGTTCCTTTCCTCAGCCCTCCCTTCCTCACCATCGCCATCACCACACACACACACACACACCCTCATCATCATCAATGCCATCACCACCATCGCCACCGTCATGACTACAACCACCATCGTCACGATCACTATCAACATTAATTATCACCATTAATACGACCAACATCGCACCATTACCGCCACTGCATGGTTACTATCACCACCCGTTCCCCATCGTCGCCATCATCATCACCACGATCGACCACCAGCATGGTCATCATCGTCATCATCACCATCACCATGGTCACTACCATCACCATCGCACACACATCCAAGCACCTTTGGAAGTATCAGACGGGAGTGGCTCGCGAGGACATCTCAAGCGGGAGCCCCCTCCATATGGGGTCCGAACGGGCCATCGAAACCAGGTAGCGATCGTCATCGTTTGGACTCTCCAGTCCTGAATGCAGCGGCGGTCTCGAAGGGGCCTTGTTTGTGGGTGAATTGCGCGGTCGTTTCGGGGGGGAGTCCCGTCCCTCATGGGCCCACAAACCATGTTACGAACCTGACAAGGTCATCGGACTGTTGTAACTGCCGTCGCGCTTGGACTCCTCGGTCCTGAACAAGGCGGAAATGTCGGGCGGGGCCTCGCCTGTAAGTGACTTGCGAGGACGTATCAAACGGGAACCCAATCCTCGTGGGGCCCGCGGGTCATGTTATTAACCCGAACGGGCCATTGGAACCCACTAAGTGTCATCACTTTTGGGTTCCTCCGTCTTGAATATGGCGGACATCTCGGGCGGGGGCCTCGCCTGTGAGTGAATTGCAAAGAAGCCTCAGACGAAAACCCCTCCCTATGGGGCCCGCGGCTTGCGTTTTTAACCCCTGCGGGTCGTCGGAACCCTGTAACTGTCGTCAAGTGTGGCCTCTTGGAACTTGAATCATTTAGATATCTGGCAGGGCGTCGTCTGTGACTTATTGGCGAGGAGCCCTGAAGCGGGAACACCCTCCCTGTAGGGCCCGCAGCTCACGTTACCAACCCGGGCGGGTCATCGGGACCCTGTAACCGTCGTCGTTGCTGGCCTCCTGAAGCTTCAAGGCGGAAGAAGTTCCGAGCGGGAGCCCCTTGTGTCAGTGAGCGGTGAGTAAGTGCATGTGGAACGCGCTGGTCCTGCGGCCCCCCACGCGGGAGTTCCTGGAGCGCGGGCCGCCGGCTTCCCTGCGGCAGACGCCCAGGGAGTACGACGAGGGCGGGGAGTTCCAGGGCCAGGGCTGAGGCGGAGCAGCTCGGGGCAGAGCTGGACTTTGCGCTGCCTCCTGCCTGAACGCGGCCGCGACTAGCTCGAGACCTGCGGGGTTGCAGCAACGGTTTGCTCCCGTGCCCCAGCAGCTTGTCGGATTTTCCCAACTGTCTGGCCCACGGGGTTGCCCCAGCGGCTTCGCGATCTGGCCATCGGGGAACGCGCCCGCCAGTCGTGGCGGCAACGGCACCCTGGAAAATCGACGTGCGCGCCCTTGCAAAAGGGGCGGGGGAGGAAGACGAAGCAGGATGACGAGAAGGAGGCAGAGCAGGGGGCGGGAAGAGGGCCTCCATTAGGGCGAAAAGGAGAAGGGCGATGCGGAGACGGGAAGAGAGCCTCTGCACTCGCAAAGACGACGATGAGGTCAATTCCCGATTAGTCTGGGTGTTTTTCTTGAGGGGTCCGACCGTCGGAAAAGATAGATGGAAACTAAATGGCCGCACTGGGGAGATACGAAAAGCCAACATGCGGATGCGATGTTTTCAGCCCAGCATCAACATGTGGGGTAGATCCCAATCTCCGTTAGACCGAAGGCATGTGTGACGAAACCTATATGGTGCAACATCGGCAGCATAAGCTATGTGATGCAAGCCATGGGATGCAAGTAACTGTGGGCTTTCACGCGTGACCGAATTCCACGCTTGAGCAAACATCTCACCCACACACCCGCAACGAGTTGGCAGATCGCAGGGACGCGAGTACACGTACCCGCCGAAAATTGTTGGCAGGCATCAACAATCGCAGTAACGAACCGACCCTGCGCTTGCTGATACACGGTTCGAGCTAGCAGGTGATGAGAATGACGACTGGTGGGCCCCCCTCGCGCTGATAAAAAATGATGTTGATGGCGACGGCGATGACGGTGGTGATGATAGTGGTGGCGACGATGACGAGGGCGTCTACAACGACGATGGCAATGACGACGGTGGTGACGACGGTGATGATGGTGACGGCGCCAGTGGTGATGGTCTCGACGATGCCTGCCTTGATGAGGATGGCAGTGGCGACGCTGGCGGAAAGGATGATGGTGAACGCGCGCGAGGGGAGATGCGCGCGTGGCCCGACAGATAGTATTTGACCTAATCGGTGGGTGCGCGGTGGCTGTTGGACGATTCCGACACGTGCGCGCGTGCGTCACGCACACATTCGATGTTTCCAACGAAAAAACAAACACGAGCTGTTTTCAACGAAAAGCGCTGTTGTGGTGACGCGTGGTGTAAAACAAGATTTGGAACCAATGGTTTGGAAAGGACGATGACATGGGCACGGGCGTGTCCCCATGGTGATAGTTGGTACAGATTCTTTGGGGCTTCAATTACCAAATCAAAGCGGGCGCCCCGCATAGTGCCGTTTGATTGGGATGAGCGGGGCAAATCGTGACTGGGAAGATAAGAACTCATTCCTGGGATGGAAGGTCGTGCGTGATAGAAATGTAAAGCCCATGCGCGGAGGGGGCGGTAAAGTCTGGCCTAGGCATTTGGGAGAGTCGAAGTGTGCGGAGCAAAAAATATATGTGAGGTGCAAAGTACGCGGTGCATTCAATGCGGTGCAAGCCATGTGGAGCAATCTTTGTAGGGCGCAAGATATGCGGTGATGTAGTGGTAAATTCATATTCAAATTTGCAGCCGCCAATTCAAGTGCTCGACCGGCGCAGTGACGTGACAACGTAGATCACTCATATCCATGACTCGGGCGGGCGGGTGGTGATGATAGCGACATGGGCGACAACGCCGATGGTGAGGGCCCTGCTGACGAGGATGGCGGCAACGACGACGACGATGACAATAACGATGGCGGTTCTGATGATGATGATGCTGATGACGATTATGATGACGACGACGACGACGACGACGATGATGATGATGATGATGGTGATGATGATGATGATAATGATGGTGCTTGTGATGATGATGATGGCGGTAGTAGTGTTGGTGGCGACAACGACGACCATGAGGATGATGGTGAATGCACATGCCGAAGGACTCGATGAAGCTTGCGATGATGACGGCGATGGTGCACGCGCGCGTGTGCCCCGACTTGTATAATCTGACAGGGTAACGCGGGGGTCGATGACGGTCTCCTGCACATGTCCCTCACTGGTACTCCACACGAGCGCTCGCACATCATGGAGACGCGAACGCACAAGCAAAGGCTGGAAGGGCACGTCTGGCCCGGGCATGGAGGTATCGAGTCGAACGACGATACTCTTCGGAAAAGCAGACGTGCGTGGTGCAAGCCACGCATGCACCCGTCGGCGGCGCGCCCCCAGGGGGGTTTTAAGCGCGAGAGGGGTGGCTCTCCTCACGGGGCGGCGGGGCCTCCCGGGAGCCCTGCCGGCCCTCTTGAAGGCCGTGCCTGCACCCGTGCAGCCCTCCGAAGCAGCCGCCTGCGCAGTCGGAGCAGGCTCGGGAGAAGCTGCCCGGAAGGCAGGGAGAGGCCACCCGAGCCCTCTGGGGAGGCCCGCTCCCTCTCAGACGCCCGGCGGCTTCTCGGTGCCAGCTCGGCCCTCCAGGGGCCCTCCGGGGCGATGCGGGCACGCAGCTGCTGGAGAACGCAGCCCCCGAGGCCTGCAAAAGGCAGCCGAGAGCCGAGCAAGCCGTTCGAGAACGTCGTCCGAAAAAACGGCCCAGCACCCTCTCAAAGGCTGGGAAGTCCCCCCCTCCTCTCTCCTCCCTCCTCCCCCTCCCCCTCTTCCTCCTCCTCCTCCTCCCTCCCCTCCTCCTCCTCCTCCTCCTCCTCCTCCTCCTCCTCCTCCTCCTCCTCCTCCTCCTCCTCCTCCTCCGCCCCCTCCTCCTCCTTCGTTAGGCCCGCCGCCGAGTCTGGAACACACAAGTCAGCGCCTCGGGCGGCCGCCAGGCGCCAACCTGGAGAGAGCCCGACGACAGCAGGCCGCCGCGTACGCGGCGGCCTCGGGTCGGCCACGAGGCGGCCATGGGCGCATCGTTAGGGGGAAGACGCAGCCACAAGCCGGCCAGGGACGCAGGACGGAAATGCGACCGTCTGAGTGCACGCACCGTTGGGGGAATTCAAAAGGAGAGGAAGAGTAAGAGGAGGAGGACGACGACGACGAAGAAGGGAGGAGGAGGAGAAGGAGGAGGATGACGAGGAGGAGGAGGTGGCAACACTCCGAAAGAGACAGGGGCGATTCCAGGCGGCCAAGACCACGAAGAGAAAGGATGAATCCACAATCGTCGACTGCCTCCTCCTCCTCCTCCCTCCTCCTCCTCCCTCCAAGCACGACATCCGGCCCCGCGCCGCCCACACCCCACAGGCCTCCTTGGCCTTGGAGGGAGAGCCGCACGGCGGGCGCCGCGGCTCCGAGGGTGTGGGCACGGCCGCGCGCGCGAGTAAAGAGGAGGAGGGGGGGGGAGAGGAGGAGGAGGAGGGGGAAGAGAAGGAGGAGGAGGAGGAGGAGGAGGGGGAGGAGGAGGGGGCGGAGGAGGAGGAGGAGGAGGAGGAGGAGGAGGAGTAGGAGGGAGGAGGAGGAGGGAGGTCATGATCAAGGCCGCTCACGGGCTGGGATCCTGTCACGCGACCAGCGTGACCAGCGCGACCGGCGCGACTGGCGCGACCAGCGCGACCGACGTGACTTGAGCGACCAGCGTGACTGGCTCGACTGGCCTAACTGGCGCGACTGGCGTGACCAGCGCAACGGGCGTGACCCGCACGACTGGGGGTCACTGGCACGACTGGCGTGACTGGCGCGGCTGGGGCGACCGGCGCGACCAGTGCGACTGGCGCGACCGGCGCCGTCTCCAGATCCACCTCTTGTTCTCTAATCGCAAGGATGCCCCAGGGAAAAAAACTGGCTAAGTGGAGGGAGCGGAGGAAGACGAGGAGGACGACGACGCCGAAGAGGAGGGGCCGATGAAGAGCAGGATGAGGAGAGTAAGAGTGATAGGGAGGGGAAGGAGGACGAGGCCTAGTCTGGTTTTAGCTGCCCGTCGGCCTGCAGCAGTTCCTTGTTTGTGCGCAGGTGCTGCTTCACTGCCTTCGGGGCCCCGCCCACCGCCCTCCCTGGAGGAGGAGCGATAGAGGGAGGAGCAAGGAGCAGGTAGGGAGGGGACCGCGAGGAGCAAGGAGAAAGGAAGGAGGATGGTGCATGGAGGGCGAGATCCCGACCGTATGCGTGCAGATATCGCATTCCAATCGTATGTTTCACTTCTGACAGACCACCTCGTTGATACTGCACGCGCTCAACAGTTGCTACGCGGCAGACAAGCCGCACCCCAGACATCCTCTCGCGACTGCTTCGGAGTGCAGCGGTGTCTCTTCGATGTAGCCTCGCCAGACTGCGTCCGTGGCATCTCACAATGCCCCCCGCCGCACACACAAACCTCCTCCGCCTCATGCTCTTCAACCTTCGGACCAGCTACGCTCACTGACTGACCTGTTAGCTCCTCGCAGCGTCCTGACTGCCACGCAACGCTCTCGCACCCTGCTGCAGAGCGACCGCGTGCGCACCATGGCCATCAATGCACTCGGCGCGCAGAAGCGCATGTTTGCCACGTGGGCCGCAGGAGGTGCGCCAACCGCAAGGGATGCATGCTCCATGTGGGGCCATATCGGCCGGATGGGCGGCATGGGATGCGGGGGGCCGCAGGCCCCCGTCGGGAAACTGGCCCCCGTCACAAGTCACCCTGCGCCGACGTGTCAAGCAATCATGCGAGTGCCGAGCCGACCAAAGTGGGGAGGAGGGAGGAAGAGATGCAGCGGAGGGGGGGGGGGCCTGCCTATCGCAGGATCAGTCAGCATCGAATCGGTCACTCGGATCGAACCGAAAGGTGCATCGGATCGTGCTGCATCGGCACGGAGTCGAGATCGAATCGGATCGGCTGCGCCAGGATGCACAACAACGCCATGCAAGCATCGGGCCGTATCGGATCGCCAGAAGCTCGGAATCAAGTCGTATCGGGCCGGCCGGAATCGACGCCGAACTGGATCGATCGGATCGAAATGGACCCTGCATCGCAGATTCAGAGAGGGAGGAGGAGGAGGAGGAGGAGGAGGAGGAGGAGGAGGAGGAGGAGGAGGAAGATGCAGTCGGCTCTCAAGGGGGCCGCGGGAGCGGCCAAGTCCAAGCAGTCCGAGCGTGCCAGCCAGGGCTGATGGGACCCCTTTGGTGCCCGCACCAGAGGTCACTCCGGAGAAGAGTCACTCGCACGCGTAGCCGATGCAGGAACTGCCCCCCACCCATTGCCCACGACGCCGGCACACGGACGGCCGATCAGGGCGGCAGCACCCCCCGCTCTCTGAGGCCCTCGTCGAGCTCTGGCGGCGGAGGGGGGGGCGCCGGCTCCCTCTTGCCCTCAGGCCCCGACGGGGACGCCTGCTTATCCAGACCTGCCTCCCTCTTCCTCTCTCTCTCCTCCCTCTCCTGATCCTCCTCCTCCTCCTCTTCCTCCTCCTCCGCCCTCTCCTCCTCCCTCCTCCCATTCCTCCTGCTCATCATCATCATCATCATCATCATCATCATCATCATCATCATCATCATCATCATCATCATCATCATCAGCATCATCATCATCATCAGCAGCATCATCATCAGCACCACCATCATCATCATCAGCATCATCATCATTATCATTCATCATCCACCATGATCAGCATCATCCTCATCATCATCATCACCAGTAAGAATATCATCATAATCATAATCATCATTATCATCAGAATCAGCGTCAGGGTCATCATCATCATCATCACCAGCATCATCATCACCATCCCGTCATCATCACCACCATTAGCAATTGCACAACCAGCATCATCACCATCGTCAGAATCATAAACATCAGCAACGTCATCATCGTCAGCACCAGCATCAGCATCAGCAAAATCATCATCATCACCACCATCATCATCATCATCATCATCATCATCATCATCATCATCATCATCATCTTCATCTTCATCGTCATTGTCATCATCATCGTCATCATCATCATCATCATCTGCAGCATCAGCATCATCATCATCATGAACACCACCATCATCATCACCACCACCATCACGATCAGCATCATCATCAGCATAGTCAGCATCATCATCGCCATCATCATCCGCGTCCTCACCATCATCATTGTGATGTTCGTCATCACCATCATCATAATGATGATAGTCATCACCATCATCATGTTAATAATCGCCATCACCATCATTACCACCACCATCACCATCACCATCATTCACAGCAGCAGCGTCAAGACCACTACCATCATGATTATCAAGATCACCACCATCATCACCACCACCATAATCATCATAGTCTTCTCCATGTCCATCATTGACCTCATCAGTTCATCATCATCACCACCACGAATATCATCATAACCATCATCACCTCCACCACCACCACAATCATCGCCGTCACCATCACCATCGCCATCCTCACCATCATCATCGTCATCATCATGATTATCATCATCACCATCATGATTATCATCATCATCATCATCATCGTCATCATTATCCTCGTCGTTGTCACTGTCATCGTCATCGTTTTCGTTTTGTCCCTCGCTGGGACCTGCTGCCCCTCCCCCATTCCGGATCCGGGTCCTGCAGATGCTTCGTGACCTGGGGCCCACACGGGCAGGTGACTCAGACCTCGGGTATCCCGCCGTCGCCGACACGCACAGGCTGGAGATTGGAGCGAGGAAGGGGAAGGATGTGAGGGGGAGCAGGAACGGAGGAAAGAGGAGAGGGAAGGAGGGGGGGGAGAAGAGGGAGGGAGGCAGGGATGAGAACAGGGAGGGAAAGAGCGAAGGAGGAGGAGGAGGAGGAGGAGGAGGAGGAGGAGGAGGAGAGGGAGGGAGGGAGGGCGGGAGGGGGGGGGAGAAGGCCAGAGGGGCCCCGCCTCAAGCTCGGCCCGGATGGCGTCCTCGCGGCTCTTGATCATGGGGTACACCACGCCAGTGAGGGAGTGGGTGTAGTTGCCTGAGCTGGTGGGCCCTCTCCAATCACCCAGCATCCTCCTTCTACCCCTACTCCTTCTCCTCCTCCACGGGCCTCCTCCTTCTCCTTCTCTTCCTCCTCTCTCCGCGCCCTCCCAAAGTAATTGTAGATGCCTCCTTCTATCCCTACTCCGTCTGAGAATATACAGAGGGAAGGGGGCCGAACGGTCATTCACTGTCCCTTGGTGCGTGGCCGAAGTGGGATTCGGTGATGCGGAATCTTGTTGCTGATGTTTGTTGCTTTTGTTTGGCGTCGTCCGACCCGCGACCCGGCCCGCGACCCACCCACGACCCACCCCGCGAGCCGCCCGCGACCCACCCGCGAACCAGCCCGCGACCCACACGCAACCCATCCGCGACCCACACGCGACCCACACGCGACCTACCCCGCGACCCGCCCACGACACGCCCGCGACCCACCCACGACCCACCCGCGACCCACCCGCGACCCACGCGCGACCCTGCCCGCGGCGACCCGCACGCGACCCACCCGGGATCCACCCGCGACCCACACGTGACCTACCCCGTGACCCATCCACGACCCGCCCGCGACACATCCGCGACCCACCCGCGACCCACCCGCGACCTGGCCCGCGACCCACTCGACCCACCCGCGACCCACCCGCAACCCACCCGCGACCCACCCGCGAACCACCCGCGAACCATCCCGCGACCTACCTACACTGCTTTAACAAAAAATCGGCGCCTGCGGCGGGCGCGTTGTATACTTTGAGAATATTAAACGCTTGCGGCGGGCCTCTTCGGAGCCTCGAAAACTGCCGACGTCCCCGCCGTTGGCTCACTCTTATCCGCGACTGCGGGGTGCTGCGTGTATATATACACACTCATACATACCTAGACGACCACCCTTCGGTTGATAAGGAGGTTCGGGGGGGAGGAACTAACGTCTCACCCGATCGGTCTCACTATCAATCTTACTATCAATCTCACTACCAGTCTCGCTCGATCGATCTCACCCGATCGATCTCACAATCGATATCACTCGATCTATTTCATTCGATCGATCTCACAATCGATTGGACTACCAGTTTCACAATCGATATCACTATCGGTATCGCTATCTATCTCCCATTCGGTCTCACCATCGATATCACTATCGAAATCACAATCGATCCCACAATCAACGTCATTATCATTATCACCGACAACATCGTCATCAACGTCATCAGCATCATCATCCGGACACCATCATCATCACCTCACCACCATCGTCATCAACATCATCATCAGCATAATCATCATCATCGGGACACCATCATCGAGACCATCATCATCATCAACATCAGCATCATCGGGACACCATCACCATCATCATCACCAGAACACCACCATCATCATCATCATCTCATCGCCATCATGAACAGCATCGCCAACATCATCATCATCATCGGGACACCATCATCATCAGCAACATCATCATCAACATCATCATCATCGGGGCACCATCATCATCGTTACCATCATCATCACCATCATCAACATCATCATCGGGACACCATCATCATCAACAACAGCATCATCATCATCGGGCCACCATCATCAAAATCGTCAACACGTCATCATCATCTCCATCATAACATCATCATCACCGAACACGACCATCGTCATCATCATCA